ACACACACACACACACACACACACATTTATTTATTTATTTATTTTTTCCGGAATTTTCAGAAAAGTCCACTTTCATCTCTGCAAAATGCAAGCAGCTGAGCTCACCATTATATTATCATTACCCATTCTTGGAAAATTGCAATCAACCTTGGTGTATGTTCGTTGCAGTGAGTTTTGAATGTTACTGAATGTACAGTATGTGATGCAGGTTAGTACCGTGCAAAAGTCTTACCACAACTCTATGTAAACAACCCTTTCATAGCAATCATTTCAACTCATTGAACAAATACAGTTAGTTGGGTCTGGCAAAAATTTCAAAACCAATTTATTAGAAAACTTACAGAGACTTGTGGCCCATGGAGGACCTTAAAGAATGGTGGTGAGCTCATGGAAAAAATGGACATTGAGGACTTAATTTACATCAGTACCATAACTGGCATCAGTGAATTCTGGAATCCTCTCCAGAATCTTTTGGCAATTACATAGTGCAATACAAATTTGATGTCACTCTTATTTTAACTGTTTGTTCTTGGACAGGGTGTATTTTCTTCTATCCATAGCAGTGGTTCTTAATCTGGGTTCGATCGGACCCTCGGGGTTCGGTGAATCGGTCTCAGGGGTTTGACGGAGCCTCTGCCATGGAGGTTAAGACACACCCAACTCAACATGTCAATTAGTTATGACATGCCCACTTGGCCATCACTGACTGGTTCATTTTGTGCACAATTAAAATAAACATATTTATATCTTGAGATTTTATTTACGTTTTTTTCTGGTTTTAATAAATGCGTTTTCTTATGTCTTGAATTTGTAAAAAAACAAAAAATCATCCATTTTATTTTTCACTAATGAAGCTCTGGGCGCAGACACTGGATTGCACTTGAATACAATTTCCCTCATTTGTTTATTCTGTGGTGGGGGGGTTAAATGCTCAACTTCAAAAAGAATCACAATGGCAGGTTACATTCAGCAGAGACGACACACACTATATATGTGTGTGTGTGTGTGTGTGTGTGTGTGTGTGTGTGTGTGTGTGTGTGTGTATATATATATATTTTTTTTTTTTTTTAACTAATGAAGGGTTCGGTGAATGTGCATACGAACTGGTTGGGTTCGGTACCTCTAACAAGGTTAAGAACCACTGACCTATTGTATACCATCTTCATATCAAATCTAATGGTGAAGTAATACTATTGTTAGGTCCTTTGCTACAATTTAGACCAAGCCAACAGCCATTGCAATGGTAAAGTGACGCGTTTTAGACATTATTCTCACTACTGTAACATTAGGTGGTAAATATTTGCTGCTGTTGTTGTTGATTATGATGATATATTTTCATCGTAATATTTGTTTTAGCACTCAAGGGAGTAATTCCATTTTCACACCGCAATACCTGTATATTTTGCTGCACTGACCAAACGCATTTTGTAAAGCCATACCAGAAGAGTATCTCGCTGTGCTGAATATCTTCAACAAACTTTGTTAGCAGAGCAGCGTGGAGAGAGCAGTGCTCGCCCGTCACCCCAACATCTTAAAACAAACAAAAAAAGTTGAAAATTACGGTCCGACTCTGGCTTCTGAGAAGTACGTTAAAGATATGATTTGACAGTCGTGTAGGCTATCTGGAATCGTTCACTGCAAAATCCTATCTTCAAAATCGCCACCTGCTGCATCCAGCGGATCCTCATTTCATCCAGTACAGTTTTCTTTTTTTTTTTTTTTTTTTTTTTTTTTGCCACTCGTTCCAGAGTTGTATGACGTGTTTACGTCCACGGGGAGGCAGCACCGCAACGCCTACAGTAAGTGAGCTCATATCGTCATTCAACGTCCTCTCTCGGGCTCAAGTGCAGCTTGTTTGTGGGGCTACACCCGGCCAGAAAAAAAACCGTCAAAAATTTTGTGTTGCCTCAGTTACACGTCTAAGGCTACAAATCCTCTGCTGTAAGCTCTTACATGTAAATATGTTTGATTTGTTAATCCTCCGTGTAAACAAACTAATCGGGGCTATGCACAATTTACCAATTTATGCATTCTGCAAACAAGGTCAAAGCACTTTCTTCCGGTTCGGGTGACTGACAGAGGTCTCTGACCGGAGACTGGAACAAAACACCTGCAGAAATATCCAGCATCTACAATGCCTTCTGTATTATACAAGATATCTTCACGAGCTACCAGAGATGACCATGTACTGCATGTACCCCTGGCATTGCCCATGCTGCGGAGTCATACGATGACGTACGATATGGAATGTGAAATCTGTGTGTGTGTGTGTGTGTGTGTGTGTGTGTGTGTGTGTGTGTGTGTGTGTGTTTTGTTATCCCTGTAGAACTCACAGTGCCAGTGTGGCGTGTGGCTTCATTAATCTCTCAGCATCAAGGGACTTGACTGAACTCATCAAGCTGCCCCAACACCACCTGGGAGAGTCGAAGCATTTACCCTCTGCTCAGGTCGCGCTTCACAAAGAAGGTGAGAGTTGTACTGTATACTTGTCAGGCTTCACAGCAGGTGCTATGTTTCGCCCTATCAGTCACACTGAATGGACCATACATTCATTCAGTGCCAGTGCCACAAAAGTTAAAAAAAAAAAAAATCAAACATCAAGCCATTGAGGTTACCTAACAAACAAATAACTCGCCAGGTCAGATTCAGCATATCTATGAATTTAGACTGTCATAAAGTCAAAACTGCACATTTGATCAATATGAAACAATGTGTCCCATCCACATAAAAAATAGTAACTTAAGTGTACAAAATGTACAGAGGCGCTATTCTGATCACATTACAAACTATGCGGCACTATACACAGTGTTGTGTTTTAGGGAATGACTCACACCATGCAAATACTCAAGTAAATATTGTTCCTTCTCTGTCTCTGTGAGTGAAGGTAAATCTGCTCAGTTCCCACACTTTTTTCATATATGGCTCTCGAGATTCACTCCAGAAACTTGAGTGGTTTCCCATGTGGAAGATGAACGAGCATAAAATGTCACTGCTGGTTAAATCAGCTCCACAAGTTAGAAACACATTCTGGAAGCTGCAGTGTTCTGATCCATCACCGGCAATCAGCACAGTTCTCGCGGTAGTGTGTTCAGCATCCCAGCAGCTTGCTGTTGAGTGACACGCCACCACACGCACACCAGGAAGCAGCGAAAGATTTTTTTTGGTCAATCCATTTGCACTTTTAGGCTTCGAAATGAAAGAACACTTTGAAAGATGTTATTTTGTCTCTGACTGTAACCACATATTTTCAGCCAAATAACTGCGCATATCATTGATATACAAGACCTTTTCATAATGTATATAGAGAGGTGTTGGGTGGCAGAACTGGAGTGACGATCGCTGACCTGAATTGAAAATGATCACAACAACTTGCTTGCGCTGCCAGATACTCCCCAAAAGTTGGATTTGTTCGAGTGGATGACATAAATAACTGATAACTTGCCTGTTGAACTTACCTGTTGAAATGTCAATTACAGACACCATCGCACCTTCCTTGAAAGCAAGTCACCTCAATTCGCACATTGAAACTATGATGCAGAGAATAAGGTTAAAAAAATCATCATTCATGCCATTTACTCTGTTTTCTCAATCATTCCGGCCTTGTCACTTGCCATGCATGTCATGGTTTGTTCACATATGACAATGCTTGAGGTCTTACCACCTGGAAGTATGCGTGTCATCATGGTGAAAAGCGCTATAATGATCTTCACAAACAAATTCCTTACCTGAGAGAAAAAAAAAAGTGTGTCTCTCCCGATAAATTGAATTGTTTTTGCATTGTGCTGCAGAGCGTACAAAAGTATGACGCATCCGCCTCAGT